GCAGTTTGATATGCTCGAAAAGATAGGATGCAAACCCCAGCTGAGAACTGCCCCTGTGTGCTATTTTTAGACCGCTGTCCTAGGTCCAAGTCCGCGGAAGTGGTTATCCTTATTACTTTGATAAACTTTTTTATTTTGGTTTTCGAAGGAAATTAACATAGGGAATTAAGAATCTATTTTCATTCTCCTGCAGAATATTGATAAAGGTTTTGTGCAGTCTAGCTTAAATAATTTAAAAAAGTAGACGAACAGAATTTTAGTGGAAGAAATCTGATACCTTCCTTTTCAAACCCAGTAAATGAACCGGATGTTGTAATGGTTTCATTCCATTTCCTTCAAAAGTTTACTTTCGTGATAGGATCTATTGTCTTGTTTAACAATAGCGATGGGGCCATCGAAATTGCAAACAATTCATATACGTTTTTTTGAGAAATAAGACAATGATACGTGGAAATGTCTAAGAAAATATTTTAACTGGTTAACCCCCATAGCAAGTTGACCAGACCTAGTTCAATGAGCAAAGAAATACTGGAGACAAATTGGGAAAGTTGTTTTTTTTGCCAAGAAACGACATCAGAGGTACTAGAATGTCCAGCAAGGAAAGGCACTCACTCCGATAAAGGTTCAGGATACAAAAGCATTGCAGAACAGCTTAAAAGGTTTCAGGGCATTGGTGAGCTTCCTTCTTTCTTTGATACAAGGACAGGCTTAACAAGCAACGAGATATTAGCTGGCAATCTTTTGCAAAATGAGGCAAAATTTCATAAGCGTTGCAAAAATAAATATAACGACTACCATTACCAAAGGGTATGTAGGAAAAAAAGAAAGAAACAGCTGATGTTGAAATCGCTCAGGCCCCACCTAGCACACGCCAAAGGTACAGCGCAGATAATTTCAAAGTTAGGTGTTTTTTTTGTAAAAAGGATGATTTGGAAGTGAATTTGACAAACGCTCAAACACTCGTGACGCGGTAAAAGAGCTCTTTGATGAAAAACTCTTAGCCAAGTTAAGCGAAGGTGACATGGTAGCAGTTGAGGCCCGATATCACAAGCAATGCCTTGCCGCTCTTTACAACCGTCTGAAAAGCTTTCATCGAACAAAATCTGTTCACGAAACAGAGGACGCTATTAGAAAAGGGGCAGTGTTGGCTGAGATTATTGATTATCTTAGGGACATGGTAGAATCTTCCAAGAATATTTCCGTATTCAAGTTAAGCTGTATCAAAAAGCTCTTTTGCGATCGTCTTGTGGCGCATGGTGCTACTGCAGAAAGTGTAAAGAATGTGCACAGTACTCAGGGGCGGACGCAGAAAAAATCATGACCGTGGCACAAGAATAGTGTTAGGTGACCACGCCCTCTGGTCTTTCGGAAACGCCCAGTCTGAGCATACAGAGATGGGTATAGCTTTTATAGCGAAAACATAGTTACATTTAGCGCAAAGCTGTCACCGCTCCTGTCGTTTTATCATTAAACAATACTGGCTCTATGTTTTCAACTTGCAAACAAATAACGATGCAAACTGATGTAAGCCAGTCACTGGACGCACTTAAATAATATACATTTAAAAATTTATATATAATGGCTAGTTCTTACAACTGACAGATAAAATGATCTTTATCTTTAGCCAGATCAAATTATTGACAAATTAAACTAGACATACTTTTGTGAAGCTTCGACAGCTCGTCCACGAAAAGTTCCTTCAAAGCTGCATGGACTCGCGATTTAATAGATTTTTCAACTATTCTTTGAATATCCATTGCCAAAGCAAAGGTAATCTTTGCATTAAACTCAAATTCGAACTCAACAAAATTATTGCGTGCTGAGTCGTCAGTTTCCTGCAAACCGAACACGTTTTGTTTGTTTACCCAGCAATCACCGGAATCACCTAAGCAAGTTCATACTCAACAGCACATTTTTTAAATATTTGTGCCACGGTGCCACTTAATGAAAGAACATACGGAATCTCGATGCAATTGATTTCAATACACACTTCTCGGGTCTCAACAGAAGCATACAGAGCCTCGACCGTGGCACAAGAACAAAAGCACAGCCATTTGGTCTCAAAACATATTGTTTAAAAATGTGCGCGCATACTTCTATTTATATCTAGTGTGGCACGATTGTTACTGTCCATATTTGGTAGAGCCAATTATTCCGTGGTTAACAAAAGGCAAACAATAAGCAAATCCAACATGGCGTACTACTAAATTAACAGCGGAGAGAGGGCGTGGTAGATAGACGCTGGAGCGAAGAGGAAGTGTTAGACAGCAAGGACCATATCGAGATACTTAGGAACAGTCCATCATTTTCCAAAAATTTAAATTTGGAAATCTGACCGTGGCACGTGCCACCGGTGCCACCGTCTGAATCCGCCCCTGGTACTCGTTTGAAGAATGACATCTTACATCACATCCCAGAGCTCGAGGAAGAAAAGCAAGGAAACAATGTTCTCCTAACACCCAAGGAAGAAACCGGTACCGCGATTTATCAGGCATGTCTAGAGAATGACCAGGATGATGGAATTTGCCTTTCTAAAGCTGCCAATATCATTAGAAAACATGTATTTTCGCATAAGATTGAGGACCCTTCCCAATTTCTTGCATCTCAAAAAGCTTCAGTACCCCCATCTCTTGTCACTTTCATCAGTATGCTCATTAGCGGAACACGCATAACTGATTCATTACCTACATCAGCACATAAGGCTTCACTCATGCTGGTATCACAACTAGCAGCAGTATCATTAGGATAAACGCTCTTGGGGCCTGGGACCAAGTATCACAGTCTAAAAATAGCATTTGGGTGCATTTTTCAGCTGGGATCTGCATCCTATCTTTTCGAGCATATCAAACTGTCAATTTCTTCTAATTTTCATGCTGGTATCATAACTAGCAACAGTATTATTAGGAGAAACGCTTTTGAGGCCTGGGACCAAGTATCACAGTCTAAAAATAGAATTTGGGGGCATTTCTCAGCTGGGGATATGCATCCTATCTTTTTTAGCATACCAAACTGTCCCATTTCTTCTAATTTTCATGCTGGTATCACAACTAGCAGCAGTATTTTTACAAAAAACACTTTTGGGGCCTGGGAACAAGTACAACAGTCTAAAAATAGCATTTTGGGGCATTTCTCAGCTGGGGTCTGCATCCTATCTTGTTCAGCGCCCAAAACTACCCTTGTGGATGAAGTTTCATGCTGGTATGCAATTTTGCACAACATTTTGGCTAACAGCCCTGACTATTATGCGAAAGAAAGGACTAGAATTTTACATATATGCTGATGACACTCAAATTTACATGTCATTTACACCAAATGATGGAACATCCAGTATCAAGAATGGAGGCGTGTATCAAAGAAATCGAATCATTGATGCTGATAAACAGGCTTAATGGTGACAAGACTGAACTATTGGTTATTGGTACCCAGCAACAATGCAAGAAAATCCCAGACGTATCCCTCAATGTTGGTGGCAGTATCATTAAAGCCAATGAAAAAGCAAGGAATCTTGCCGTTGTTTTTTATAAAAATTTGAAACTTAAATTACATGTGAACGAGTTGTGCAAATCTGCTAGATATCACTTACACAACATAAGCCTTGCTCGAAGATACCTCGGCTGCAGAGAAAGCTATACACGCATTTGTCTTATCAAGACTTGACTGCAACAATTCTCTCTTATATGGGTTACCATCATGTGAGTTACAAAAGCTACAGAGAGTCCAGAATGCTGCTGCCAGAATCTTAACAGGTGAACGAAGACGTTGTCACATAACACCAGTATTGAAGAGCCTTTATTGGTTGCCAATTACACGCAAGGTAGAGTACAAGATAATCATGTTAACCTCAAGTGTGTAGAAGATCTAGCGCTGAACTATCTTAAAGAATTATTAAAATTACGCAAGGCTTCTCGTTGGACTAGATCTGCTGGTGACGAACTATTATTTGATGTAGGAAAGACCATATTTGTTACGGCTGGTGATCGTGCTTTCAAAAATGTTGCCCCTTCCTTCTGGAACAGACTTCCCTACTCAGTTAGAGCTTGCAACACTTCAGAAACTTATTTGAAGACACATTTATTTAGAAAGTATTTTATTGAATAAAGTGATTTTAATAAAAACATGGTAAACTTTTACCCTTTTTTAACATACATTTTAAATTAGACTTAATATTTTCAATTGTAATGCGCCTATGAGCCCTGTGGATTTATGGCGCAATATAAGTGTTTTTATTATTATTATTATTATTATTATTATTATTATTATTATTATTATTATTATTATTACATCCTTTTTAACTTTAGTTGTTTTATTTTATTTTTCTCAGTTTTTCTCAGTCAGTCCTTTTACCTTACGATTGTTATAGTTTTTTCTTGTAAAACCAGGCTAGCCAATTGCAAATTACCTTGTAATAGTGAGATTTGTAGTTGTAGTTTAAGTTGAATTGAAAATGAAATGTTTCCATTATTATTATTAAATCTTTCATTGGAAAATCTTGGTCCTGCTCGGCAGCAGGACCAGCAGGACCTTTGGCTTCGCCACTGCAAATGTTTACATTTCCAGGATATCATCTTATTTTGCAAATTTTGCATTTTCCAAAATTTTGCAAAAAGATTATGGTGCTTTGAGATGAATAACAAAACAAAGCCAAAACATTTCTTTTTATATCTGAATAAAAATTTGTGTGTCGTGATTAACTCGATCAAATAACTTTTTTTTAAAGTTCTATAAGTGTCATCGAAGTTCGAGTTAAGCACGACATCTAAATTGACCCTAAAAAGCGCTACCAAAATTATTTTTTTATTGGCTTCAGACAAGTACAGTTTCTAGAAGCGTGAAAACCCCCACCCTAAACACATGTCAACATTGAATTTAGGGAAGGGGTAAAAATGCCAGTTTCGATTCGTTTCCCAAAGCAAATTTTATCAAAATCCTGTAATTTCAGCTTACAGGATTAAATAAACACAAATAAAAAACTCTATTGAAAAGACTCCTGTTCTAATAAGATGAGGAAAATTTTGGCTCGAGGGAAGGAAGCTTTTGTTAGAATTCAAAACTTCTTCCTCCCTTCTTTTCATTCAATTTCAAATGCTGCCTTAATTAGAAAGATAATGAATCTATTCGTTTCCAAACTTTTAATAAATTGGGGCTGCAGGATTGGTTTTCTCACAGCATCTAGGGCGTCGTCTGAGGTAAGAGCAATGTTTTTTTCTGACATTGATTGTTTGACCGCTTTAGACCGATTCCTGATGGTTAATCCATCAGACAAATATTGAATTTCTTTTCGATGATTTTTTCTGCGTTGCACTTTAGTTATAATTCAATGATTGAAGATTCTTTTATTTCATTCAGGAAAGCTGAAAAAAATGAAGGTTTTTGCCGTACTTCTTCTTCTTGGGATCTTGGTCGGCGCGTTTGGTAAGCAATTTGCTGAATTATGTTTGTAATTCTTAATGACGTTACGAAGAAATAATCATTATCTAATTATACTTGTCTTGAACCTCTTGGATATTCTTGATGTTCTCTGCATCTGCAAATTTAAATTTTTAGGCTGCATTCACATTGCACGATCTTCTTTTTGCACCTGGTAGCATGTGACGATTTCCGCAAAATTAATCGCGTGCCGTGTTCAGTCAGAATGCAAAAATTTTGACAGGCGGAAACCAACGAGATAACTTTTAAGTATACTCGAAATGAATATTAACTTGATTTCAAAAACTGATCGAACGAGATATTTCTTTAGGGTCGATTGGCGATTTCCATTTTTCCTATTAGATGGATAGAGCTGAACTGCTATTTTGTCGGAAAATTTCTGCTCTTTTCAAAAATTTAACATGGTTGTCTATGTTTATCTAAATGCTATGTTTTGATGGAAAAAATTTGAATCTAAATAAACATAAGAATATTCAATATATCAAAAGATCTTTTTTTCAGTTCTGATGTCGTTATGTTATGTTGAAATTTATGAGAAAATTATAGAAGCTTGTTAGATTTTTGTCGGAAAATCCATGTTTCTCACCCCTCCTGTGAATTAGAAAGAAATAGAAAATAACAGGTACAAGATATTACGTTTAAATGACTGAGAATAAAAAACAAGTGGGTTAGGCACAAGATTTAAGGATATCTAATGGAAGAAAAATAATTTATCACAAGTACATTTAATACTTTAGGCAACTGTTTATTCTGTTTCCTTCCATATCGCACTGGTTCATTCAACCTCGCACTTCTTAAATATTATCGAAATACAATTTATACATCAAATATCATACTTACCATACCTGATAACTGATATCTGATAACTGAAAATTTGAGCATAACTGACATCTTAGCACCATGATGCATGAAAATTAAATTTTCTTAGAAATTCTTAAAGGCTAGAAAATGAAAAACGTTCAATTCGTTGACTAAATTGGACCACAACAAACAAACTGTTGCAAATAGATGCGAATGCCATAGTGTAAATCTGTATGATGTACATATTGCCCTGTTTGTTACCCTGCAATCACATTTTTGGTAACATTCAGAAGCTTTTGAACTTCTTTAGCCATAGCCAACAAAGATGAGAAATTCTTAACAAAATTACATTTAAGACTGAGGCAGGCAACGACTTCATGGACCTTTGTCATTATTGTCTCTAAAATTATGTTATGTTAATGTTGATGGGGAGGCTGGATTATTACTTAGAAATTTTTTCCAATTGAGTTATTTTTTATGGGCCCCTAAAACGAAGGGCCTCCAGGTCAGTGACCCCCCTGACCCCCCCCCCCTCTCCTCAGCACTGTGTAAGAGCGGAATATCCAAGCAATTTCCATAACATGTGGCCCACCCGTGCTTTTGTAGTATGACTCTATATCACGCGACATTATGCTAACCTCGCTTTCACTTATATATAACCTTTAGTTAATTAAAGCCATTCTGTTTCTATGTGATAAGTTTGTTTTCATTTGATCAGGCATTCTTTGTCGAAAGCGAAAGGCATTTGAAAAGCCTTTGTGGCATTTGAAAGGTACAAATGGGGGAAGTAGTTTTGAAATCTTTTGTAGAGAGAGCAAAAGAAAAGAGCGAGAAAGAAATAACCTTTAGAAACGGCGAAACACAGAGCACTTACAACATCGTGTGTGCAGTTTGCTTGACAGCCAATCAGATTAGCGAAGCTATCATAATGACTCAGCAATTTTTGCAATTTGGGTATACGCTTCCTTTTTACCATGACTCGATGCCTTTAAGGCGTTTCATCGATCAAAGTGTATCAGTCTTGCTTAGCGGGACAAATCGCTGTAAGAAAATATTCTAGACCAAAAATTATGATGCAATTCTTGAAAAAAGGTGAAATTATTCCTTTTATTTATAGTGGTTGAAATGATTAGCATTGTGAACTTTAGGGTTCTTGCTTTTAAAATTAGGCCTAGTTGCTCTGGTTCCGGGGGGCTGGGTCTTCATCATGGCTCCGCCCTTGACCACGTGGGAGGCCCCCTAGACCGCCTGCTGGTTAGCATTAATGTGCGACCGTCAATTTTTATTCTGTATCTGCCCCTGATGCCTTTAAGAATGATTAGTCAGTTTATATTCTCGCTACGAGTCGCACGATATTTCTAATTTGTTCTTCGCTTTAAAGACTACTCGAAGTAATAGGTGCAGCTATACCTATTATTCTTTGACATGGGTTGTCAGTATAAACATGAAGTTCGAAATTTTATCGCGTTCTCGCAAGATTGAGTAAGCCGGTTAAAAAATTTCTTGAAAAGCATCGTTAATACTTGCACGAATAGCCCCCTAGAATTAGAAGGGAAACACTCCATTTCACAATCTACATCATCATTCAAGCAGAGTAGCCCCCATACAATTAGGTAAACTGGTGAAAAGAACGCCATAATGACAGCCCTAACTGGGTCTTAAGGTCTGGTTTTTCCAGGATGCCGTTTCAAGCTAATCTTTTTTGAAAAGCAAGGCAAGATCTCTCAAGACTTCTACTGAGTTTCTTTTTCGCCTTGATTGTGAAATGTGAATTATTCTCTGTTTTTCAGCTGACCCAGTAAAACTGGATGACAACTCCGCAGGGACATTAGACCTTTTAGACGAAAAAGTAGATGTACCCGACGAGGATGAGACGGTTGATGAGGAACCCGCGAGAGCAGAGGACACTGAGACCAAAGATGGCACAGAAGGTGATTTTTCATTTCGTTTTATCATATTTATACACAGAAACCCTATCAGCTACTAGGTTAAAAAAGAAAAAGTAAAGATTAATTTACATATAATGCTGGTCTTCCTGGGGATCGTGCTTCGGGAAAGGATGCTAATTTTGCAGGAATTCCTTTCATTTCTTTTTGAACGTGGTAATCATGGAGCTCATTCTTATCTGTAATGGAATTTCGTTCCACGTCTGTGCACCACAATAGAAAAACTCCTTCTGGAGAATTCTAGGTTTTTTCCTTGGGGTGTCTAGGTGTAGGCAATTTCTTGTTGAATAGTTAGATATTTGGGATCTTGTGACTTGATCCAGTTTCGATTGCGGGAGTATGTTCTTTAGTTTCCACAGGGACGAGAGTGCATTTTTTATTTTACCTTTAAGGTTTTTATATTGCTCGTTCCGTGTCAGGTTTTCGTCGACCGTAATTCCTAGGTATTTTACCTTTTGAGCTCGTTTGATTGGCTCTCCATTTACATTTACTTTTAGTGAGCCAAGGATATGGTTGGCTTGTCGTTTACCACCAATAACCATATATTCTGTTTTTTTCAGTATTAAAACTAAGCTTATTCTGACGTAACCATTCTGCAAGATTGTCGATCTCAGCTTTTAGATCATTACAGAGACCGTAGATATCTTCGGCAGAACCGGTGACACTGGTATCGTCCGCATACATGTTTGAGCTGCACTCTTGAGGCACTGCTCGAAATCATTGACATACGGGATGAAGAGGAACGGCCCCAAGCCCGATCCCTGGGGGATACCGCAGTGAACAGTTTTTAAGCTTGATCTATGGCCATTTATTTGACAGTATTGTCTTCTGCCGGTTAAATACTATGTAAACCACCGAAGAGATGTCCCTTCCACTCCGTATTTGGTTAGTTTCGATAGAAGAATCCCGTGGTTCACCGTATCAAACGTTTTTTTAAGGTCGAGAAATACGCTTATATTAATTCTATGTTTGTCAATATTAGAAAACCATGAATCCGTTATGTTTAATAGCGAGGTCAGGGTGCTATGCATCTTTAAGAATGCATGTTGACTTTCAGCAAATTTCTTTTGCTCTTTCATGTAAGTCGAGACTTGGTCGTGTCCAAATATTTCCAGTAACCTCGAGAATACAGATAGCACGGATATAGGCCTATAATTACCCATTTCACTTTTAGAACCAGACTTGAAAAATAGCGGTTACCCTTGCTATTTTCCATGTGTCTGGAAAAAAAACCGTTTTTGAATAAAGAGTTGAATAAAGCAGCTTGGGGGGGGGGGTCGAGGGGCTCAAATTTTCCTACTGACACAGGCTAATTCTAATTTTGTATGAGAGACTAAACTTTGATAGTTTATTACCAACAGAACCTTATAAACTGTCTCGTAAAAATTCCGTTTTTGAATGAAGAGTTGAATATAGCAGCTAGTGGCTTGCATAAAATTTCTGCTGCGTCTTTCACAAACTGTACTGAGGTCTTATCAAAACCCGCAGATTTATTGCATTTCAATCTTTTGATTTCAATTTACAGAAGAAGACCCCAAGGAAGCCGAGTCTGACAATGTCGAAGAAACAGAGCTAGCTGACAAACAAGGTGAGAATATTGCCCTTATACGGGAAACAAAGAAAGCCAAATCATGCTGGCCGCCTTTTCCACACACACATCTTTTTTTTATAAGAACAATTTTATAAGACGCGAGCGCGCAAGCCCCAAACTTGGTCAAAAGTTAAAAACAAATTTAGAACAAGCTGAGGCTGAGCTTTTGCAAAATGCAATTTTGAACAACGTTTTTTCTCAAAATCGAAGACTTTTAGCGATGTGTGGGTGCTTTTTCGGTGAATATTCAAACCTGTCACTTCGTTGGCAAATAAGAACTGAACACTTCCCTAAAGCAAAAAAGCTAGCACTCGCACTGCTTACACTTCTTAGATTAAGAAAAAAAATAAAGAACAATCCAGCCTCAGATTTTCGAAAAAGTTAAGAACAGTCAACCTGAATTTAAATTTACTGGTTCTTATAAAAAGAAAGAGTGTACATGGATAGCAATGGTCACTAAATTTCCTTTATGGTTGTTTTTCAGAGGATTCACGTCGTAACAGGCTAAGATTGTGTTCCGTGGAGTGTTCACATAGCTGCACATATTACAAATGGTTCTTTTGGAACAAAGGCTGCTCGTGTTATCGCTGTCCAGCTGGTTATTACAGAAAGTGTGGAAAAAAGGTCAGAAGGTGCGATGGAAGATTCTGTTACTACCGGTCACCTTGTTTCTGCGAACTTGTACCACGTCAAGGATTTTGCGACCGATTTCCTTTTTACGCCTGTAGAGTTCTCAAAGATTGCGTGAATGGCAAATGTTCTACTCTCCGAAAATGTTATTGCGATTGTCGCAAAGGCACCGTACGCTGGTGCTTTTCCAGTTCCAGATGGTGCCTCTGTAGACGACCCAGACGGCGGTGGGGTTGATCAATTTACAGGTATGCAGTGAATACCCTTTCAATGTGTTCTAAAAGGATTTACTGAATTACAATCAAGGTAATAAAGCATTATCTTCCTACACGAAAATAGCTCTTATCTCAATAGGGTTGTTGCTGCAAGTAAATAATACTTTGTCCTCGAGCAATTATTTCCTGCTCTTGCCAATAGTATATGCTACTCACAGTAGGCGTGACTATGGATTAGATTAATTATGTTTGCTATTTGTCACGTTTAAAGTGTCCTTGCCTGCTTGCTGTATGATATTACACTTTTTGCTTGCATTCCTTATTAAATTGAAAGAATGTAGGAGGACATTGTTTTTTTATTCTGATTTTCAAGATAGATTCAACTTTAATTTGATTTGTCAGAGGAGTAAACAGATAAGTAAGGTTGGGAAGTCTTAACATGAAATTTTATGGAAAATTAAAACAGGAGACTTAGGGAGTAACACATTAAAATATTTAAACAAGGAACACGAATAGACCTGGGCTGCAAATGTTTTGAAGCAACTTCCAATTAACGGAAGACTAGCTCCCCTACGAAGCCCGCTACGCGGGCTTGCCAGTGACCCTACGGTAGTGTACATAGATTAGCCACGGAAAAGACAAGAATTTTTATAAAACCCCCTGTGAATGATAGTAAAATTAGCCTCGGTAAAGACAAGAATTATTTCCAAGCCCTCAATGAGTATGCAGATTAGCCTCGGAAAAGACAAGAGGTGTATCAACCTCGATTTGAAAAAAATTGATTCCGCACAGGTCACGTGATAAAAAATTACTCGCACTCCTGTGACTATCGCTAGGAAGGGGGTCGCCTGAAATAGAGCAGGGGTAGAGGCTCCCCCCTTCCTAGCGATAGTCACAGGAGTGATATTCACAGAGGGTTTTATAAAAATTCTTGGTTTTTCCGTGGCTAATCTATGTACACTACCGTAGGGTCACTGGCAAGCCCGCGTAGCGGGCTTCGTAGGGTAGCTAGTTTTATTTCTAATTGGTAAAGATGGATATGACATACTAAGACTCTCTCAAGCAGTGAGTTTGACTTTTTCTAAGCGATATGTTTAACAAAAAGCAACCTTTCCCTTAACAGAGTGCAAATGTATATATGAAATGATTTACACAGATTCTGCAATGTCAGTTGCATTGAACTGACGACTTGCACGTTGTGAGCAAATATGATGGAAGTTTATAGAACGTTTTTTTATATTCAGTGATCTCCTAAATTAAGTCGTTTAATTAACTAAATTAACTCTTCCTCGATTTTAAATGCAACGGATCATTCTGTTAACGCACGGTTGACGAAATGAACATAGCACCATTATTTCAGGAAGAAATTCATACCTTCACTAACACTTTCTTTTCTTCTTCTTAGTTTCTGGCACCAGATGCTTGCATTGATGTAGCGATCAGGAGTTTGCTGAACACTTTTTGTAGCTTTATTTACGCATCGTTTTACTCTTTATATTCGAACAAAGTGAATGAACAGTAATTTGACGCCTATTTCTATTGTTGCATATCTTCATTAGGAAACTTAGCCCTGCCTCAATAGTTACCTGATTAATGTTGGCGGGTTCTTAAATCATTCAGGGGTCGGGGATGTGATGGTGAGCAAATTTCTTCAAACTTTTAGCCAGGAAATTTCTTCATACTTTTAGCTATATCACCCGGACGAGTTAAAGCTCTCACTGCCCTGAAAATTGCAATTCATTGTGTAACACAGTGCCCTGACGTCAGTTTTAACACCATTTGTTTCAATTTTCCTCGAAGTGGTGATAAATGAATTTCAGTTGTTATATAGAATGACGGTTTCGTGTATGGATAACGTTGCCACATGGTGCGAAGTATTATGGTGTACAGGGGCGTAACTTGGCCAATAGTTTTGGGGGGGGGGGTGAAAAGGGTTTCTGCTCTGCAAAAATGAGTGGTGCCCTGCAGACCTCGTAGCAACGGTTTGTCTATAGTTTACTAGTGAAAGCTTTACCAGTGTACACTGGTCTTTACCAAGGACAAACTTCTAAGCAATAAAAACAAACTTGAAACTTCATTGCCTATGAAATTTTATTTCTCTACGTGAGCGTAAATTGTTTTTTCTATATTCACTTCATTTAATGTTGGTTTGCAAAATTAAGCTAATAAACAGCTAATTGGGGGGGGTGTACATGATGTAGACAGCGCAACGAAATTTAGCCCAGTGGGGCTAAGAGTCGAGTTTAGTGAGGTAGGAGGACCCACCATGGTTGGGTCCGACGTGAATAAATTTTTTGAAATTATATGTTGTAAAAGGGCTAAAAAGCATCTTTCAGACAAAAATTTACCAAATTACTATTGTGCTAAAAGAAGTGATTGTTTATTGAAAATATTATTGTTTATTGGGAAAAATAGGGAGGAGGATGTCATGCTAAAACTCTAGTGTTAGACGTTGGGGAAGGAAAGAAACGGCAACCTTTCGTTTCAGATTGCACGTAGTTGTGAATGACAGAGGAAGATGTTGTTTTGTTTGGGAGAATTTTTTTTCCTGAACAGAAATGTGTAGTTTCTTGTATCAAGAAGGCCATGTTTACACATCCAAAATTAAAACATTGCAATGATACAGAAAATGATTTACTGAATTAATGCAAATAAAAGAAAAATAATGAAAATATACGTGAAAAAGTTAGCAAATAGATGAAACAAATCGGTATCTTAACGATTTATTATGATTTTTAGTTCCTGCACTGTTAAAAAGTAATAGAAAAAATGATAAGAAAATTCCTATCTTGACCAAAGTGAGGGCCATCAGCCTCTATTCCCCTCCAGTGACGCCGTGCTTGTCATGAAAATAATTTACAACTTAAATTAATTTGCATGACTAAACCTTGCCCTCATAAACATATTCATCAATCATTGCATCCATTGGCTATGACTTTTGGTAAGACATGCTTTCGCTTTGCAAATAACGGAACTTTTCCTTACATACCTGTTCCGTTCTCTAAAATACAATGTCAGGAAGGGAGGTTCATAACAAATATGATATTTCCATTTCAAAATTCCTAAACGGCTCTTTATGAACTTCAGAGGTGGCATTTCTGCGTGGCAATAAAGCTTTTCTTGGCGCCCTGCGAAATCTTCGATTGCCCTGCGAAATCGACTATTTTTTGGATTGGGGGGGTGTCACACCCCCCCACACCCCCCCGGTAGTTTCGCCCCTGATGGTGTACGAACGTGTACGGAGAGGTCAAATTCTTACTGAGAAAAACATGGACGGGTATCCACTCGTTTTTTATAAGAAACTCTCTATAAGAAACGATTAATAGGCATTGTAACCCAAAGTTTCCCAAAGAATTAAGTGAACTGGAGAAGTTGACGTCGACCTATGTTTTTTATAAAAATGTTTGTAATTCAGTTACGGTCGTTTATAAGCTTTAGCAAACCCTGTATTTGAAAGTTATATCCTCCCTCCATTACAATATGTTCTTACAATCTTATAGTGCAGTTGTTGAAGTGATGAACAAGGAACAAAATGGTAGAAAAGCAAAAAGTACATCATTTTAAGTAGAATTCTTCCCTCTAGAACATATCAAAAATCGCCTAAAATCCAACTTTGGGAGAAAATTTTCTAGAACTTTTTAAAAACATGAGCTTTTTGACCATATGCACAATTACATCTGCCGAGAGATTCTGCAAAATATGAATAGCTTGCAACAATTCAAGGCGTAAATTCTGAATTTGGAAGCTAAACAGGTATTCGAGTCGACAATTGAGAGAGAAAATTGAGTATTAGGGCCCGCACCTCCGGGGGGGGGGGGAGGCGGAGAGGCCATGGCCCCCTACTTTTTGGTAAGCAAAAATATTTCCATAGAGTTCCTGTTTTGAAGCCCTAAATTCAAATTCAATGTATAAAACTTGGCCCCTCCACTTAAAATTCGTGGCGTGGACCCTGAGTATATGTTGAACAGTAGCAAAATAATCAAGTCTTGTTGCTAACCCGCTAAAATTTTTGAAAATTCTTGATTATAAATGAGAGTACAAATTTTTCAACAATTTTGGTATTTGGTACCTCTGGTATTTGGAATTTATGCCCAGCATGAAACATGAAAAGCAGTTGTCATGATATATGATTATATATTGCGTCTGCTGCTACAAGATCAATGCTGCCGTGAAGGCGAGGTTATACATTTGCAGTCCACGAATGATGCAATGCTGCACCCTTCAAAAACTTGTCTTGCATTGGTATCGTTGTGAGTCACAACGCCGAAGCTAGCGGTCATGCTGGTCATGCTGAGCATGACTGAAAAATTTCAGAGCTAAAGACATTCATTATAACGATTTAAACCTTTCTTTATTGAAAAAGTACTTTCAAAACCCCTTTCGTCCAGTTTATTCTTATTATTCTACTGCCCTTCCCATAGAGATGGCCCTTCCCCACCTTGGTCCCTTGTGGTTAGTCATCCTATCTCTATGGGAGAGCATGACCTGCCATAGGGTTTCTTTACGCAGAGAGCCCAACGGCTCTTGTGAATCGGCTGAGTTTCAATGACTTTTCAGTTGGTATCCCTGTGTTAAGTCATGCTCATTTGGAATAGCATGACCTCGTCATTATAATCATAAACCTAGCACTGATTTGATTGGCTGAAATTTATCTTGCGAATGCTATTTTGGCCCGTTTTGGACCCCAAGTCATGCTCATTTTTTTCAGCATGACCGACCTAAATCTCCCATACATGAAGTACCTAGGGTCCAGTGGCGTGGTGGCAGGGGGGGCCAGGGGGGCCATGGCCCCCCCTGAATAGGGGCGCAAATGGAGTTAAGGGGGCGCCAACATTGTTTGCTTGTAATATTTGGCTAGTAACATCAAAAGTGATCGTACACGGGTAGAACACTTCGCTATAACTTGCTGTGAACAATCTAAAATAACGCGAGATTCTAGAATCGAAGCACGTTGCGCTGCCATGACCCAATCAACATTTGTTTCATATGTTTTCGTTTTAACTATGTACGTGGCTTCATGTTTAGCACGCCAAATAACGAAGATTTCATGTATGCCAAAAATGTTTTTATTAGTTCGTACTCGGAACGCCAAAAAAGCCTGAGTGAACGCCACAGATCTTCGGGCCTAAGTACATGAAATGCACCCTGGCAATCAATACAGCAGCTTCTTGTTATTGATGTGAACCAAAGGTCACCCTTTCTTTCTTTTTCCAACGCATGAATCCTCCCTTACCAAATTTTTTAAAAAAAATAAAAAATCCATGTCTTTCTGAGCATCGTTGAACTGTCTATTCTGAGCGGTGTAGTGATTTGTTAAATTTTATTCTGGGAGATACATTTTTAGCCATTCTAGAGGGCTTGATTTCAAAAATTTTCTTCCGCGTCGGACCCAACCATGGTGGGTCCTCCTTTGTCACTAAACTTTGTCAACCCCAGATTCAATTTTGTGGCCGCCACCTCTGTCAGATTCAATGGTGCGATTCAATGCTCGAAACTTTCAAGTTGTTGAAAAAACTACTATTTAATAACTACTAAAGAATAACAAACTTGAACCATGTTTGTATATCATACATCATATATGCGATTACACGCTTATAAGCCAATTCAAAATAGCTTGATATTTTACCGAACCACGATCGAGAAGGTCAAATGTTAGGATAACATAACTTTTCCATACATATTCGCATTTTAGTCAAACTTTATTTATGAAATTTTGCATTCAAGTTGCAAAAATCGATTTCCCTTCTAGAAACACATGCTTTATATAACCACGATATTCTGTGACGATATATAGATAGGGCGCAAAAATCGACTTGGCCACCCCAGGGAAAACATAGCCACCCCGCCACTGCTAGGGTCTACTTGTAAACTGAGAGACATTGCTGCAAGGAAGTGGGAAAGTTCAATCGAAGCTATTTGCGAGAGATATATTGTTTCTTAACTACTACAGGGATCACTTGCGTGTGCCTGAGCAAAGTAATTGTAAACCAAAATTGTTATTGAAAACCAAAGGCCGACCCTTATCGATGAAGAATCCTACCATTGCGTTGCTGATCATACCATAACTTGTTGCTGATGGACGAACTTGTGCCCTGAAACTTGCCTGTGTATTCAGTATTTCACCAAAACCTCTTGCTCATGGAATTATACTCTTGAAAATTTCTTGTTTTGTCAAAATCACACAATAACTTGTTGCTGATGGATGGGATTTTTCAATAAAAATTGCCTGTCGTCAATTATGGTTTATTCAATATTGCAACTTTACTTGTTGCTGAGAGGAACAAACTTGTACTTTGAAAACTTGCCTGTTGGCTGTTTATTCAATATTTCACCAAAACCTGTTGTTGATAGAAAGAATTGTGCTCTTAAAAATGTCTTGTTTAGTCAATGTTACAACACAACTTGTTGTGTATAAATGAAATTCAAATTGCATCCGGCAATTTGCCTGTTACTTGATATTACATGATAACTTGTTTGCTGATAAATCAAATGGTACCCTAAAATTTGCCTGCATTCAATATTACACCAACTCA